ACTGTTTTTAATATTGAACATTTATTATTTCAGATCGCGTTGAAGAATCGAGAGATGAAAACAGAGCTCTTGTTTTCGTCCAACGCCGGTGAGTCATTACAAACTTACCAATTCGTTCATTCTGCGATTTTCGGGTGTTATTCCCTGAGAAAAATCCAGCAGGCGAGCTGTTTTATTTTCTCTTCGTACTTTTCAAAAAATTGCGGATAATCTTCATGGCGAATTGCTAGTTATTTCCAATTCACAAATTCGTTCATTCTGTCGATTTTCTGGCGTTATTCCCTGAGAAAAAACCAGCAGGCGAGCTGTTTTATTTTCTCTTCGTACGTTTCGAAAAATTGCGAATATTCTTTATGATGAATTGCTAGGGTTTGGGGTGTGAATATTTCCTAAGAACCATTATCCTTTGATAGCCTTTGATAGGCTTGATAGGTGATGAAACGAATGAGAATATCTCACGTTGAAATAGCAGTTATATTATTAATTATACTAATATGATACTACTACGATAATGCAAGCAGAAGACCTGTAAAATGCAGCATTCATGATTGTTTACTTTCCTTGGAACATTATCTGATCTCGGGGTCTAGATAATTTCCGTATCTGAATCCCAGGCAGCTCTTCCATGTGTCGACACACGTGAGAAGCCATGCGCCTAACCTAAAACCTGAACGAACTGTTCACTGACACATCAAGTGTTTTTTCCTGCATTTTTTGACAATTAAAATCGTAAAAAAATGTCGAATGCAGAAGAATCGAGTCAGTCGACGTCTGACAATGATTTTCAAAGTGGTGCTAATACCCCTGAACCTGGTGCGTCCACCAAGGGTCTCAAAATCGAAAAGAAAAGAAAACGTGGAATTATTTATTTATCGAATATACCTAAATACATGAATGTGACGACTGTCAGAGAGATTTTTTCAAAATATGGTGAAGTGGGAAGAGTTTATTTACAATTGGGGAATAATGCAGGTAAGTGAAGCTCATAATAAAGAATAATTGAATTTTTTTATTTGAAATTTGAAAAGCAGAAGCACTCATAATAACAATTTAATCCTCAGATGATAAGAAAGATGGAAAAAAGCCAAAGAAAAAAAAGAAAGAGGCCTCGAGATATTTTACAGAGGGCTGGGTTGAATTTGAAAGAAAGAAAATAGCGAAATATGTGGCAGCAACACTGAACAATACGCAGATCTCCACCAGGAAAAAGAGTAAATTCTACGATATTATTTGGAACATAAAATATCTTCCACGGTATGTAAAAATAATCAAACAGCAAAAGAGAATGGAAACTTAGTCAGAAAACTAATCATTCAATTATTCATTTTTTAGATTCAAATGGGTTCATTTAAGTGAACGTTTGGCTTATGAAAAAGCTGTTCACAAGCAAAGATTGACCACAGAAATAGCCCAGGCCAAACGGGAGGTAAATTTCTTCTCCTACAACGTGGACAGGAGTAAGAAATTGAAAATTAAAGAGAAAAAGGGGGAGACTACGAATTTCGTCATGCCTGAGGTTAAACAGAGGGAGACAGACATGGAAATTAGGAAAAGGAAGAATGAGAATAGTAGTGAGGACCGTACGCAATTCCTTAAGTCACTGTTCAGCTGATTTTCTATGTACGAAATTAAACAGACTCATTTTTATGGCGACAACGTGGTTTTCTGGATTCATTCATTCACGTTGCCCTCAACATTGATTTAAAAAGGAATTCCAAGGAATGAAATGGGCTCTGACCGTTTTTATTCATTAATATAGTTGGAATCTCCTTCCAAATCAATATTCCGTCGTTCATTCAATCATTTTTCAGTAAGACACGAGGTATTCATAATTTAACATTATTTATTTCTTCATCCAAGTTTTT